ACCAATGGATGTTTGTGTTGAGATAGTTTTAAAATTTGTTGATGGGACAGTGCTAATACAAATGGAGAGCAGGAGAGTTCCTTCCCAGTGAATTTGTGAAAAAAGGCTGCATTACACCTGGGTTCTTCCACGCATTGTTCTAACTAGGAACGTATCTGACAAGAAAATGTGAACCTCTTTTTTAGGAAGTTTTAATTCTTGATCTCAATTTCCTCATCCACTTTCTTTTGACCTTTCTTTTTATTTTATATAATGTGATGTCTTGGGTTTTTATATTAGTTAAAGGGTGCCATTTCACAAAATACCAAGATGGTTGCACTTTGGAAGAGCAACATTTTTAGATCCCACATATATTCAGCCTTGACAGAAGGCTTAGTGAAAAATATTTAAAGGCCCCTACAAAGAAAGAAAGAACAGCATAGGACTAGTATTTCTCCTTTTGAAACTAGATTTAGCCCTGAAAAGCAACCATTATGTGAATGAGAGGGATAAAGAAAATAACTAGAGGCCAGTGGATTCTGTAACAGGATGACTAAGTTGGTCTCCTTAAGATAATTTTATGACTTGAGTCTTGCATAGTGAAATGCCTTGCAGGTCCAAAGCATGTATGTTCCAAAGATAATAACTGTGCTTAGTTCTTGTTTATGACTTATTTTGTTTAACGGCAGCCCCATCAGCCAGGGGAACGAAAATAAGCCTTTGCGATTTACCATCTATGTGGTGATTTGTACTCTGCTATACAGAAAAGTCATGGGAGGGAAGTGCAGAAAATCCTTTAATTGAAACATAAACTTGTTTCATGGAAGGAGCACAAAGTAACAGCAGAGGTGAATACTAACAAGTGACTTTCCTCTTGCTATTCGGAACAGACAGGGTATTGTGTCCCATCTGGTTGATCCAGTCTTTAGTTTCACGGTTTTCTGATCCTTAGGCCAGAATATTGGCCGGTCCTTTTCAGAAGTTGTAATTATTACACATCATGCCTTCAGGGCATGAGGGACTAAAGCAGCTTCAAGACTAGTAAATGTGAGTTCAAAAATAGCAAGACACTGGATTCAGCTTTTAGATTTTTACCAGTCACGAACAACTGATCTACTCTTTTCAAAATTACATACATTAATCTAGTGACTCTGTGTTTTTATCAAAATTTTAAAACAACAATAGCAACGTGATTACGCCCTTCACTGAGAAGGAACTTTGCACATGAAAGACTTAAAATGTTTTGTAGAGCAGAACATTCTTTGAAAGCTCTGGGTAGAAGAAAGCACTTGCTTGAGGAACTTAATTGATAGAAACAGTGCAGCCTGGACAAGGCTGCCTGAGTTCAAAGGCACCGCTTTTAATCCCAAACCATTTTAATTTTACTTAACTTTTATTTCTTTCTGGGTGACTAAACTGCAAATTCCTACTAATCTACTGCCAAGTAATTTTTTTTAAGAAGGTGGATACTTTACAAGATTCATAGCCAAGAGCCTCCTGTCAGGAATGCTGGTGGTACAGTTTTGTGTAGATAAAAAACAGAGGCACAGGAAAGTAGGTCATTCTGTTTTGTATGTGAAACAGACTCTGTCTCTGGAAAGTTTGCTCCAATTGAAAACAATAAGGCACTAGTCCCTCTTTAAGTCTGGAAATGTAATGCCTCTGGCAATACATGATCTTGGAGAGTAGAGCCTAGTGTTTTCATAGCTGAGATTTTGTGTTAGTAGAACAGCCAGAATGTCAACTGTTGCAAGGAGAGTCATCCAATTCACACATATGCAGCTGGAGAGAAAGCCCAGCTTCAAGAGATGACATTTAACATTTTGGGGATGAACAAGAATACAGAAATGGTCTACTGCAGCCAAGAAATAAGTGGCTGTTCATTCCTAGTACAAGAGAGCTATAATATTGCTTTCAGACTCTCACTCTATGTGATTTTCTTCTTAATGGCCCATTTGAGAGTTAAAGAAAATTATTAAATGACCAGATATAATACCTTCGACAGAAGTAATTTCTTGTAAACAGCAAACAGTAAGACGGGCCAGGTATGGCTGATCTGTCTTCATAAAATGAATCACAACATATTTGATCATTTTGACCGCCCTAACAACTAACACAGTGCAATAGTGCAGCCACTTTTTTCCTAGACATTTATTGTCTAGGGAAAAAAAATGGATTTCTTAAGATAACTGTACTCTTTTTTTTTCTTTTCTTTTTCTCTGTGTGTGTGTGTGTGTGTGTGTGTGTGTGTGTGTGTGTATGTGTGTGACTTCTAGTCTTTCTACATCCTTACGTGTAACTACTTAACTGTTTTGTTCTGGTCATTCTTTGTTTCCGATGGATCGGAGTATTAGTATTAATTGGCTTTCATAGAATGTTACAGGAGAGTTAAGAAAAAAACATATCTGGTTTATTAAATGTTGGATGGACATTATTAGTGCACAATCCTTTAAGGCTGGCACTATTGAATATTAAACAGTAATTGAAAATCAACTGGCAAATAAGCCATCTTGAAATGGTATAATCATGAACTAGTCAAAAAAATGTATCACCTCTCACCCATTAAGATGGCTACTATAAAAAAATATGTAAGTGTTGGCAAGGATGTGGAGAAATTGGCCCCCTTTTGTAGTGTTAATAAGAATATAAAATGGTATAGCTGCTTTGGAGAATAGTATGACAGTTCCTCAAAAAATTAAAAACAGAATTACCATATAATTCAGCAATTCTACTTCTGCATATATACCTAAAAGAATTGAAAGCAAGATCTCAAAGAGATATTTGTACATCCATGTTCATAGCAGAATTATTCACAAGAGCCAGAAGGTCGAAGCAACCCAAGTGTCCATCAACAGATGAACGTATAAACAAAATATGGTATATGCATGCAGTAGCCCTTCCTTATCCACAGTTTTGCTTTCTGTTATTCATGGTCAACCATGGTCTGAAAATATTAAATGGAATATTTATTTAATTTCATTTATTAATAATATTATTATTTAATAAATAAATAATTTATAAGTTTTAAATTGTGCATCATTTTGAGTAGAGTGATGAAATCTTGCACCATCCCACAACATGAATCATCCCTTTCTCTAGCGTATTCACACTGTGTACACTCCCCACCCATTAGTCAATAGCAGACTTGATTATCAGATTGACTGTCCTGGTATCGCAGTGTTTATGTTCAAGTAACCCTTATTTTACTTAATAATGACCCCAAAGTGCAAGAGTAGTGATGCTGGCAGTAATGATGCTTATGCCGAAGAGAAGCCATAAAGTGCTTCCTTTAAGTGAAAAGGTGAGTACAGTACAATAAGATGTTTTGAAAGATCACATTCACATAAGTTTTAGTACAGCGTATTGTTATAATTGTTCTATTTTATTATTAGTTATTGTTGTTACTCTCTTACTGTGCCCAATTTATAAATTAAACTTTATCACAGGTATGTATGTATAGGAAAAAATATAGTGTACGTAGGGTTTGATACTATTCGCAGTATCAGGGATTCAGTGGGGATATTGGAACATATCCCTATGGATAAGAAGGGACTATATTGTACAATGGAATATTATTTAACCTTTAAAAGGATGGAAATTCTTATACACACTACAACACAGATGAACCTTGAAGACATTATGCTAAGTGAAATAAGACAGTCGCAAAAGGACAAACTGTATGATTCCACTTGTATGAGAGACCTAAAGTGGTCAAATTCATAGAGACAGAAAGAATAGTGGCTACTAGAGACTGGGGAGTGGAGGAGAGAAAAATAAGTAGTAACTGTTTAATGGGTGTAGGTTTCAGTTACAGAAGATGAAAAAATTCTGGAGATAGATAGGTGATGGTCACACATCAATGTAAATAACATACTTAATGCCAGTGAACTGTATACTTAAAAATGGTTAAAATGGTAAATTTTATGTTATATGTATTTTTTTCACAATAAAAAAATAAATGAAATATTGGATCAGGAAGTTACCTTTAAAAACAAACAAACAAACAAAAAAGAGTGGGATAACAGACACACGATTCTGCCTTTGGAGACTTATATTCTCCATCATTGTTTCCTGCCTGCTCCAGGAGCCAATGAAGCACTTTTTAGTGTGTTTTAATTTACTTCATGCCTACACTTTCCCTTGCCCCTTGTCTGAGAAAGAACTCCCTGCTCCTCTGTTCTTCCCTCACCCTTCCCACCCTCTACACGTCTTCACCTTCATTGTGGGTGTCAACCAGAGATATATAGAGCCATCTGGCTGGGAAATGTTGACAGCATGGATGTCCACACAAAATGCTCAGACTGAATCTGTTAACAAGTTGTCTTTTATCACCTTGGTAGCAGGACTGTGGGGAGGGAAATTAAAGGCACAGAGGAGGACAATACAGGAGAACTCTAGAACTGTCAACTGATTTTTGTCCCAAAGGCTTTGTACCATATTATAACAATGAACCCATATGAACAAGAGACAGGTGAATTCTTATCAGGGAAAGGAGTCTTAATTTTAAGAGGAACCTAACAATTCTTTAGTTTGCTTTCCGGAAGTCTTACTTGGGAAGAACTGCCCCTGGGGAAAAAAAATGTGATTTTGATAGGATTCATGATAGTCTTTGCCCAGGTAGGGGTGGTTTCCCTCTTTGCACCCTCCCCCCATTTCTAAGCAAATTATATAAGATATAATCAAATTGCTCCCTTACCCCTCACTAACCTGAATTTCAGGATACAAGCCACTCAGATTTGGGAAGGAGGTTAGATATTGGACATTATACTGGCTTTGATAGCTGTACACACTGTTCTATTTCTAAAATTTCTCTAGATACACTTTAATGTTAAACAAAGATGAGAATTTTCTATTCTCTTATTAGAACTATGGTAATTCACATGCTTGCATCAGCGGCTTACCTCCGCAGGCTGAGAAGTTGAGACCCTCTATTGTCACACCTATGAAGAAAAGTAGAAAGTGGTGTTGATTCAAGAAATATCCTTGAAATAAATCTCCTTTTTTTTTTTTATTCCCCCAAGCTTCCGCAGGTTCACTAGATCCAACAGTGTGACAACAGCTGTGCAGGCCGACCTGGACTTCCACGATAATCTGGAAAACTCTCTGGAGTCTATGGAGGACAATTCGTGCCCCGGCCCGATGGCCAGACAGTTCTCCCGGGACGCCAGCACCTCCACGGTGAGCATTCAGGGCTCAGGAAACCATTATCATGCCTGCGCAGCAGACGACGACTTTGACGCGGATTTTGATCCTTCGATTCTGCCTCCCCCGGATCCCTGGATTGACTCGATTACTGAAGACCCTATGGAGGCCGTTCAAAGGTCAGTGTGCCACCGAGATGGCCACTGGTTTCTGAAGCTTCTCCAGGCGGAGCGAGACCGCATGGAAGGGTGGTGCCAGCAGATGGAGAGAGAAGAGCGGGAAAACAACCTGCCTGAAGACAGTAAGTAACACAGCGACGCTATCCTCACAGCCTGCGCTGGGGTCTGGGCTTACCTTTTGTCCGTAGACTCGTGGTTTCTTCCCTACCTGTTGCATTGGTCTATCCCTGCGGTCTGGCCTTACCTCAGACAGACAGAACATATGGGAGAGCTAGGCAATTCCAGCAGAGAGCCCAGCCCCGCCCCCGCACTGCACTATGAAAAGAGAACCACTGGACAGGTGTAACACCTCCGCTAGCTCTAGATTCGTGACTTCTAGCTCTAGATTTTGTCCTCTCTGACAAATATGGCCTTCTGTTCTTAACATGATTCCGCTTGCTTGAGATGTTACTGAAGAGGTGCTGATTCTCAGGAAATTTATAGTAATTCTAACTAGTTTCAAGGTCCACAGATTCATGTGCATTGGGCATTTACACTCGTACAGTTGTGTTACTTTCATTAACATACAATATTATGTTATAGTAATGCATAGGTCTAGAGGCTCACACTTACATTCTTAAGCCTGCTTCGCATGCACTTTCTCTCTCATGTTTTAGGATGGCGAACTTTCAGCCCCTAAATTAAGTAACACAAATTCTAATTTAATGGGTTAAAGTAAATGGTAAAATATGATGAATGAATAAAATAAGTAATGGAAGCCTGGCACACATTATTTTCAAACTTAACATTTTAACGATTCCTATTAAAAATTGACCAAAAAATTTACCAGATTACCTTAATTCTGAGGCACATTTGGCACGTTTTCAACAATTCTGAAAGTGAATGTAGTTTACAATTAGTGTGTATTTTAATATTGTGTTTATTTTCCTCTGAAAAACTATTATTAAGTAAATGATGGATCTTCCAACTGATGATATTTTTGAATCAAAGAAATTTAGTGGTAAACATTAGAACCTGCCTTCATTTTTGTGTAGGAACTACCTAGAATAGTATTGTTCTGATGTAGCTTTTTAAACCTATTTTTAAAATCAGATTTAACTTTTTATTATAAAAATTTTAAAACATGCACAAAAGTAGGAAGCTTAATATAATAAACCCTATATACCTATCACCCAGTTCAACAATTGGCAAGTGTTCTTATCTTCCCTCAGTTATTGTTGTTTTTGCCGGAGTATCTTAAAGAAAATCCAAGGCATCACAGCACTTCACTATATATTTCATACCAGTAAGGATGTTTTTTTACATAACCATCATGCATTAGTATCCTTAAAAAAATAATAATAATTTCGTAAAAACCAGACCTAGAGCCTACTGTAAATCATGTTTAAAAGACTTACTAAATAAACCACACTCATTGTGTTAAGGAGCAGTGAGTTTTCCATAAAGGAAGTATTTTTCAACGAAAATTAAGTCTGGAAAATAACAGTTAGCAGGTTGTGGGATTTCCTCACTTTTTCCATTCTCTTGTTCACATCTCTTCTCCGTGCTCCTTCTTCCTGCCTGGACCCTACCAACCAGCTGACTAGCCTCTTTGTTGTCTTTATGAGCAGGTTAGAAAATCCATAAATGGATTTCTGTAACACACTTTTTGTTCTTGCATACTAAGAGTGCAAACAATTTAGCAGTAGAAAAGTAAATCTCCTTGACACTTGCCGCTAACAGTTGGTACCACTGCAGACTCACCTGAGTGTTGATCCACAAGCAGAATTAGCTTTCTGCCCTCTAAAAGGTGAATGAGGCACCTCCCAGGAGCAGTGGGTGGGGATAAATTTCAGTAAGAAAGTCTTAGCAGTTGCATCTTATTTTCCTTTTCCCCTTGTGGGTATACCCAAAATTTCCTAGATTTTCCTAGGAAAAAAGTCAATGTCTCAGGAGCAATGGCTTTTGGTGCACTACCCAACAGGACAAGCTATCATTCAGATTTCAGTCCATTAGTTTGGGACTCATTCTAGTCTCCCAGTTGGTTTCCAATAGGATCCTGGGAGGCTGCTCATCTGATGTTTACTTTTAACCTGTTGTTTTCTTCTGATCTGAAACTAGATCTATTTCTCTCAACCTAGCTTTATAATGATGCATGAGATTGATCATTGTATAAAGATTTAGGAAAACCTCCCTTGAGACTGAAGGAGCTGTGAAAACAAGTCAATGTATTTTGGTACAACCACATTTATTTGAAAGGTAAAAATCTTGTCAGAAAACTAGGTTTTCATCTTGTATTTGAGACAGAAAAAAGCATATTTGTATTTTGAAATATACACAACTGGTAAAGTCTCAAAATAATAAACATAAAGGAACTGCCTATTCTCTATTCCAGAATTTTACTTCAGATATTACATAAAATATTGATTTATAAATGGGACTTATAAACCTATTTTATATAAAGAGATTTTGTTACAATAGTATTTATTATAACAAGATTTAAAAGAATAATAATTTTCTATCTTTGTACATGAAGGTGCCACTGTCTCACCATTAATAAACCATGCTTCCTGAGGATGTTTTGAATCAGAAGAGTGATGAATTTTCTCAGATCTACCTCTTTATTTTACAAGGTTGCTGCCTGGGTGGGGGTGGGAGGGTGATGCTAGGGTCATGGTTGCAGAATCAAAGATAACTAGAGGTGGGAGTATTTTTAGTGCATTGTTTTAAAAGACCCAACTAAGTAGATTAGTCTTAGATGGGAAGTATGCAATAAAACCTGCTTCATTGGGGAATTGGTCTCTTTTTGTAGTTTGAAACATATTTTAATATCAGAACCCCCTCTTCTGATTAAAAACAAATGATATACAACACCAGTAAATATAAAAGGAAGAATGATGAAGCTTTTCTGGTGAGAGCCCAGAGGAAGCCTGTCTGCTTAGCCTGTACCATCACCCCCCACCACCACCCCAACCGAGTCTCCACCCACCAAAAAAAAAAAAATCCTAGGATTTCTAGACTACAGTTTGAAAGCCAATGGCCTATAGTGAAAAGTCAAAATTATTACTTTTTAAAAATATAATTTCATACTTTTAGATCAAACTGCTAACACACAGTTTAAATGCCCTTTACACATGCTTTTTAAAATGTACAAAACTGATTCAAATTAGTAACATCTATTCATGTAAGCTCAACCAGTGTACGAAATATGGCTCTTCCTTCAAGTCTCAGCTTGGGCCTCGCATTCTAGAAGTCTTTGCGGAATGCCTCCCCTCAGGCTGAATTGGGTGTGTCTCCCAGGTGCTTTTGTAATAGCCTATACATTTGCCTATTAGGTATTTTCAACATTACTTTATGACAATCTGTGTATCTCTCTCCTCCACTAAAAAGTGAGCTCTCTGAGGACAGAAATTATTCATCTTCATATTCACTGGCACATAGCAGGGGATACTTGAATATGTATTTGCGTCCTCAAAATATTGTGCGAATTCTATTTTACAAAAGTATTTAACCTAACAAAACATTTCTTCCTAAGTAGCTTAAAGAATACTCAGTAAATAACTAGCAGTTATTGTTGCCGAAAGATAGAGGGGGAATTTCCTTATGAAGTGATGAGCCCTTCTCATCAGAGCTAGGGTTTGGCAGAGAGAGAAGCACACTTGCCTGAGAAATGGTAGAAAGGACTGCTGTGCTGGTCAGGGAGATGGTCTAGATGAGCCCTGTATGTCCCTTCCAGCTCTTGGGACACGATTCTATTCCGCCAGCACTTGAAGGCTTTCTGTATCGTTCATGCTGTCGAAAAATACAAAACAGGAGCACCAATCTAATAGCATTCCAGAATTCTAAACAGTGCAGAGGTAAACTCAATGCCCAGGTCACAGAGTCACCTATGTCCAATGAGGCAGATCCGAGGGAGGGTCTGACCATAAAGCCAGAACAACCCTCCACCATAAGAGGGAGAATATGAGCATGTGAAAGAATGTTCATCTTGTCCTTAGCATACTCCCTGGGAGAAGGTTACAGATTTTGACAGGTATTGTTTTATTTGCCCTCAAAACAGCTCTCTGGCAGAATCTTGTCCAAGGTCACAGAACACAGAAGTGTCTGATGGAACAGATACAGCATAAATAACATTTGACAAGATAATGATACTTTGTATGTACTGTCCTCTAAAGCTCTCTCTATGTATCTCTCCCTGGCTCCTTGGCAATCCCAATTCTGTTCAGATAACTGGGCCTAGAGTTGCACAGTGCCTTTGTTTTACTAATTCTCTAACTTAACCTTTTCTTTTTCTTAAGAAGGGTGGTAAGAGAGGCCAATCTTGTTTGACAGGCATAGCCAATTTCTGAGTAAACAGCTTTAAAAAAAATCTGTGTACACCCAGGAAAATAGCTTCAATAAATCGATCAGGCACAGACATATCTATCTCTTGGCCAAGCCACCTTATATGTCCTTTGAGTCCTATACAAGGAAGGCCTCTCTTCCAGGTACATGACAAAGGTAGCTCCTTGACAGATCCCTTCCATGAGAACTAGTCTTCAAAGTCATCATGAACAATAAGGAAGGCAGAGGGAGAGAAAGGAAGATTCTAACCATATTTGCTTAGTTTATTTTGTGGGGCACTAGAATTATCCCAATTTTAAAAGCTTTTAAGATGTTTGCTGAATGTATTTAATGCCTCTCTAAATTGTATTCTTAAAAATGGTTAGAGTGGTAGATTTTATGTATATTTTACCTCTAAAAAAGAAAAATTCTCCCTTAAAAAAGTCTGCAGCAGCTGAAGGTAGGTAGAACAAGCAAGCTCATAGTTATTCATTATGCTTATAAAGTCTTCCTGAATTCATAATACAGTTGACCCTTGAACAATGTGGGTTTAAACTTCATGGATCTGCTTAAATGAGGATTTTTTTCGGTAAATATCTGTACTATTTTTGTTCTGAGGTTGGGAGTTCAAGGATGCAAAGGGCTTAGTATGAGCATTAATCTACACCATTTTATTTAAGGAACTTGAGCCTCTGTGGATATTGGTACCTGTAGAGGGTCCTGGAACAAATCCCTCCTCAATACTGAGGGACACTTTACGTTTTGGAGAAATCAAGAGTTACATGTGGATTTTCTACTGGGGGGTGAGATGAGGTCAGTG